AGTCACCCTATTACTACTAATTACCCCTCCAACAGTGATCCCATAGTACTAGTATTAATAATACAGCACTTAAAGGAAAAAAGTGCTATAAACATACCATAAATGTGAACATGAGCAGTATAACTTTAATGATAGTATACCACATCTAAGCATTAAAATATTACAATATCTCAAAAAATAGTCCCAGCAAGTGAGTCATATTATGTTCCAGAAGGAAATTTTTGAAGCTATACACTCATTTACCTTTCCCTTCAAGAGTGAACCCTATAAACATACTCATAAATAATATTACTTAAATAATAAAATACCACATCTAAATATTAAAATATCTCACAAAATCCCAAAAGGCGTAGTTTGCAAACAGTGATCAAGGTAAAACATTTTAAGGTCTCCCATAGGTCACCATTAAACATGTTTACAAAACATCTACCTGGTTCACGCTTAGGCTACGTTCACATACATGCGAGTGCAGTGATGTGTGTAAATCGCACACATTCCCACATCCACAGGCAAAATGTGCTACTATTTAGTAGACATATGGGGCACCCCCATACTGCGCTGCGTTTTCAGGTCCAGGTCACAATCACATGGTGCAAAAGCACCATATGATTTTTCTGTGATTGTGATCTTAAAAAGGTGCAGGGATCTCTTTTCCGCAGGAACAGCAGCCCATTTAAATTAATGTATATAACCATAAATCACCAGCGCCAAAAAATAAAAATACATAAATTATAAACCAAAACAAAATTAAATGCTGCTGTACATAAGTGTACCTTACACCAAAAAATGTATAACATCACAAACAGCGCAAAATAATTTGTTATAGTGCTAAATCAATAATTAAGAATATTATAAGATAATAAATTCACTATAAAATATAGTCCCACTCCAAAATTCATGAAGAAAAATATGTCAAGTGAAAAAAAATATATATAAAAAATGAAGGAAAAAAAAATGAAGGAAAAAAAATCCTTAAATATTCAGAAAGTCCTTATTCCAAAAACGTGTGCTTCCACCAGAAATTAGTGCTCAAACCAATATATACCGCACTCACCAGATTAAGGTCAGAGAAGTTTAAGACGTCTGTGGATTCCATAAATATACTGGTTTATATCTTATATAATGTGAGTGGCCTGGTGTTTTGACGTTTGATTTAGCCGGGTGTTGCAGTATTATGCTATGTTATTTTATCTCTTCTACATTACATTGAGTTTCTCTGGGAAGTGGAGCCTGGTGGTGTTGAAAATTGGAGGAAAGCTTTCTTGTGGTGGAGTGGAGTTCTGGAGGCATATCATAAGGGTCTAGGATCCCATAAATACCTAAAAGGCGTTTATTTCACCTTAATCTGGTGAGTGCGGTATATATTGGTTTGAGCACTAATTTCTGCACTTTTTTTTTCTTCATTTTTTATATATATATATTTTTTTCACTTGTCATATTTTTCTTTACGAATTTTGGAGTGGGACTATATTTTATAGTGAATTTATTATCTTATAATATTTTTACTTATTGATTTAGTACTATAACAAATTATTTTGCACTGTTTGTGATGTTATACATTTAAATTAATGAATGATTAGGATTGGTATAGCCGACACTCGTCTTCCCAAATAATAAACTTTAGTGAGCAAATAAAATGTGCATATAAAATGGCTTACACTTTTCTGCAATAAGCCTTAGTCATAGCCATGATGCCATAGCCAGATAGCTATGACTAAGGCTTATTGCTGAAATGCGTAAGCCATTTTATAAGCACATTTTACTCGCTCAATAACGTTTATTATTTGGGAAGACGAGTGCCGGCTATACCAATCCTTACCATTCAATTGCATCTCTGCTGGGAAGACACACAGAGCCAGAGCACTGACATTCCACCTCCATGGGGATTATCTCTGGGCGTAGCACCTACTTGTTCATTCAAATGAATGGGCTGCTGTGCCCGTGCAAATGCACCACCCAAAAAACCGCACATAAGTGAACCTAGTCTAAGACCCTTAAATCAGTCCAGGATGCTACAGAAACTTGCCAAATGTTATTGGTACATTCTCCACACCACCGGCAAGTCTCACTTTTGTAGCAAAGTAGTACTGAGAGCATGATCATAACCACTGAGGAATGAGACCTCTGTCCCATAACAGATTTTAAGAAAATAATGTTATGGTGGGTACAAATTTCTAATTTTCTTTGTCTTGAGGGGTGGGCAACAGAAAACAAATGCTAACAGCCCCCCCCCCAAAAAAAAAAAAAAAACAAACAAAAGAAATGGTAGCTTATGAGGGACAGATGACTGACGGTGACCGAAATCACTGTAGATGGGCAATAGGAATAGACCAAAGATTGGAGTTATATGTGGCTCTTGGCATCTTTACCAGATTTCTGCTGTCTAGGAGAACTAGTAAATCCATGAATTACCTTTGTTAAGGTAGACATTCACAGTATACACTGACAGAAATATAGGATAAAAGCTGATTTAAAAAAAAAAAAAATATATATATATATATATATATAATGTTCAAAAAAAATTAAAGGAACGCTTTTTAATCAGAGTATAGCATCAAGTCAATTAAACTCCTGGGATATTGATCTGGTCAGTTAAGTAGCAGAGGGGGGTTTAATTCATTTTCAGCTTCTTTGGTGTTAATGAAATTAACAGGTGCACTAGATGGGCAACAATGAGAAGACCCCCTAATAGGAATAGTTTTACAGGTGGAGGCCACAGACATTTTTTTCCCTACTCATCCTCTCTGAATGTTTTTCACTAGTTTTGCATCTGGCTAGGGTCAGTGTCACTACTGGTAGCATGAGGCGATACCTGGACCCTACAGAGAATGCACAAGCAGTCCAACTCCTCCAGGATGGCACATCAATACGTGCCAGAAGGTTTGCTGTGTATCCCAGCACAGTCTCAAGAGCATGGAGGAGATTCCAGGAGACAGGCAGTTACTCTAGGAGAGCTGGAGAGGGCCATGAAGGTCCTTAACCCATCAGCAGGACTGGTATCTGCTCCTTTGTGCAAGGGGGAACAAGATGAGTACTGCCAGAGTCATACAAAATGACCTCCAGCAGGCCACTGGTGTGAATGCCTCTGACCAAACAATCAGATACTGACTTCACGAGGGGACCTGAGGGCCCAATGTCCTCTAGTGGGCCCTGTGCTCACTGCCCAGCACAATAGAGCTCAATTGGCATTTGCCATTGAACACCAGAATTGGCAGGTCCACCACTGGCACCCTGTGCTTTTCACAGATGAGAGCAGGTTTACCCTGAGCACGTGACAGACGTGAAAGGGTCTAGAGAAGCTGTGAAGAACATTATTCTTCCTGTAACATCGTTCAGCATGACCGTTTTGGTGGTGGGTCAGTGATGGTCTGGGGAGGCATATCCATGGAGGGACGCACAGACTTCTACAGGCTAGACAATGGCACCCTGACTGCCATTAGGTATCGGGATGAAATCTTTGGACCTATTGTCAAACCCTACGTTGGTGCAGTGGGTCCTGGGTTCCTCCTGGTGCACGATAATACCTGGCCTCATGTGGAGAGAGCATGCAAGCAGTTCCTGGAGGATGAAGGAATGGATACCATTGAATGGCCCCTATGCTCGCCTGACCTAAATCCAACAGAACACCTCTGGGATATTATGTTTTGGTGCATCCGATGCTGCCAGGTTGCACCTCAGACTATCCAGGAGCTCAGTGATGTCCTGGTCCAGATCTGGGAGGAAATACCCCAGGACAACATCCTTTATCTCATTAGGAGCATGCCCCAACATTGTCAGGCATGCATACAAGCACGGGGGGACCATACAAATTACTGAGTACCATTTTGAGTTGCTGCAATAAAATTTCAGCAAAATGGACTAGCCTGCTGCATCTTTTCACTTTGGTTTTCGGGGTGTCTTGTAATTCAGTCCTCTGTAGGTTGATCATTTTCATTTCCATCAAATGATGGGGCATCCTTATGTTCCTAACACATTACCCAGTCCATATCAGTACAGATATCCAGCATGAGATGTTTCCGCATTGAGACCTGATGTGTTTTCAAAGTGTTCCTTTAATGTTTTTGAGTAGTGTATTTTGTAAGAAATAGCTGTGCCTATAGAAAATTATGCAATTAAATGTGATGGTAAAAAATGTTTCCCCTCCCCCCTCTAAATTAAGTTCTACGCAATAGACATACATGCACCCAAATACTGTATATTTAAATTTGCAAACAAATGAAAGTAGAACTAAACTTACCTTTCCTTCGGCGATCCCGTCTCTTTGTGGCACCGGCATGTTCTTCTGGTTGTGGGCCTTCGGCCATCTTCATTGGTTGGCATGGCCTGACATCCCTCCTGCACATGCACATGCTACACTGGGACGGTGTCAGTGATATAAGCTGAGCTGCACATGCACAGCTCAGTTTACATGCTGGAGAACGCTGAAAGCAGGCAGGTAGGTGTATTGTATTGCAGAAGAGACTTTGCATGTCTCTTCTGCAATAAAGAGCTTGCCTTATCCCAGTTGGTAATAGCAGAACTTTAGTTCCATTTTAAAACTCTATCTGTTCCTGAGAAGCATGATCTGTCATCATTTTCATAACTGATGCTAAAACAGTCAATTGGAATTTGAACAGACAGGAAACAACCACCAACATTTAACCAAAAGTGTAACTATAAGAATTGTGTGTAAAAGAAAAAAGAACTATTTTCTTGTTTTGTGCAAACACAAAAGAGGAAATGTGAGAAGAAATGTGTGTTTTAGTAAATGCACAACAAAATATTTTGCATGATGGTAACTGGCCAGTTTAGATACGTGATCACTGATGACCAATATCCTTTTTAGCAAAAGCTAGCTTCTAGCTGCAGTCATTCTTCAGCTGTTGTTCTGTGTGTACCTTCCTGTTATCTGTGCAGTAAAGACAGCAGATACTGAAACTCTTTGAGCAAGTAAGAAAATCTTGGCAATGCTGGAACAAGGATTTGAGGGCTGCCAAAATGGCAGCAACTGCACTTGCTGCATGTTTGAGGACCCTCTTCTCTCCAACATACTTCCTTCAGTTCTGATCATAATTTTTGTGTTTGGGACACTACTTAATGGCTTTGCCTTGTGGGCCTTTTGCTTTCACATGAAGGAATGGAAGTCTAGTACGGTCTATCTCTTCAACCTGTCAGTAGCAGATTTCCTACTCATGATTTGCCTACCCTTTAGAACGGACTATTACTGGAAGAACATGACCTGGATCTATGGAGATATCCCATGTCGGCTGATGCTATTCATGCTTGCCATGAACAGGACAGGAAGCATCTTCTTCTTAACTCTAATAGCTACAGATCGGTATATTCGAGTTGTTTATCCTTATAGTAAAATCAACTTCATACCAACTAAGCTTGCTGCTGTTATTGCTTGTGCTATTTGGTTTGTTACAATACTAATGACTGCTCTCATTCTCACTGAAGTCCATACTGGAGGGGCCATGTCAACAAAACCATCATGTGACAGCTTTATGGTATGTCCTAAGGCCTCATGGTGGCATGATCTTCACTTCATCTTTAATTTTTTCCTGCCTCTCTGCATTGTCATTTTCTGTACTTGTTGTACCGTCTGGAGGCTTAGACAACGAAACCTGGACAAAAATGTAAAAATTAGGAGAGCTGTAAAATGTATCATGCTGGTCGGGATGGTGTTCTTCATATGTTACTTGCCAAGTGTGTCAACCAGGATTGAAGTCTTAAGGATCCGAGCTTCTTCAGAGAGAAATAAATGCAGCATCTACAGAACCATTGATAATGCATTTTACCTTACAATCTGCTTCACGTACATAAATAGTATGTGTAATCCTTTGGTTTATTATTTTTTTTAATCCTTCATTCAGAAAATTCTATTTAAAAATTCTGCAATGCTCAAGCCCAGCAGAGTCGGAATCAGAAGCAGGACCAATCGACAATAATACCAGCATGACTCTGAGGAATAACCGGCTCTAGTAACATACATGGACAAACTAAAGACTTAGAAATGATTAAGTCACATACTGTACTATGCAGAGATAGATTGTCCACAACGCGTTGTGTCCAGGAAGCTATTTTGTCTTCATGGTCCTTTGTATTAACTTCTTCCTACACAGTTGCTAGATGCAGAGTATCCATTATTATAATAGTTCTAACATGATAACCCTTTTCCATTTAAATACAGAATATTATTAACCTGTTATCTTTTAACACAAATTCTGTGCTATGCTTATTTTTTTACATATAATGCTGATTAATTGCTGTTTTTTGTGTACCCTAAAATTTCAATTAAAGATTTGAACAGTTTTTTGTGTACACTAAAATTTCAATCAAAGATTTGGACTGTTTTTTGCGTACCCTAAAATTTCAATTAAAGATTATTTTGTGAAGAGCAGTGAAGTATTCTACCAATATCAGTATTTGTATTTTCTTATGTATGTATAGCTTTAACATACCAGAATGTATCTAGCCAGCTTAACTCTAAAAAACTGCAAATAATTTAGAGAATGTCATCCTTATGCCTTAAGGCTTTGGTCACATCGGTGTGATCTGCATTCTGCAGGCAGGGCATCCTATTCCCTTCACTAGGTTGCCCTACCCACAGAACAATTGGTCCTGGACCCTTTTTTTTAAAGTTGTGCCTCATGGAATCAAATTGTGCTGCAGCACTATATGGTTTTGTACATGCAAAAAAGCAGGTGTTGGGAACGTGTGGGTTGGGAACGTGCAATTTTGCAAATGTTTCCGACCTGCACAAGTGTGAACGTAGCCTAAAATGGTGGTGTGATACTATTAAGAGAATTGTTTTATTACACAGTAGTGATGGGCTGAACACACCCCTGTTAGAAAATAATGCAAGTCTATGGGACTTGAACTTGAAAATTCAAAAGTGCTCATTATGAAGGCTTATTTGCACGTTATTGGCCATAAAAGGGGTATGGGGATTCAGGTACTGCCCTGAGGGACATGAATCAGTGAGAATTTTTTTTTCCAAAAATACCGTTTTTAAAGGGGCAGCAATTTTTCATTGCCTAAAGTAAAAACAAAAAAATATCATGCCTGGGGGGTCCCCTTAAACTACCTGCAAAGTTGCACATCTATATAATGTATAGAACCTGTTGCAGCAGGACGAACATTTTTTTTTTTTAAATTACATTTTTATTAAAAAACAAACAAAAAAAAACAGCATGGGGTCCCCCTAAAAGCCATACCAGAACCTTGATCAAAGCACAGGCCAAGCGCCCCTCCCTCCTGAACCGTACCAGGCCACATGCCCTCACACCAGGCCCTTTAGGACTTTTAAGGAGAACTCCACCTTCCAAAAATGGGGGGGAGTGCGTGGGGTTCCCCCTAAAAGCCATACCAGGCCCTTTAGACTTGGTGGGACTTTTAAGGGGAACCCCACCCCAAAAAACGGGGGAGGAAAAGCATTCCAGACCCTTGATCCAAGCACAGGCCAAGCGCCCCTCCCTCCTGTACCGTACCATGCCACACACCCTCAACATGGGGGGGTGGTATGGAGTAGAGGGGCTCCCCCCCAAAACACCTTGTCCACATGTTGATTTGGCTAATCACAATGCACTGTCAGAGTGCAGTGCATTGTGGGGCGTGGCCCCAAACACCCTTACCATTCATGTGTTCACTGAACACACGAACGGCCGATGTTGACTTCTCTATTCCAAGTGCAGAGATGTAAACCTGTAAAATAAAAGCATTTAAAGATTTACATTTTGAACTTAAATGCAGGATTAAAGTAGAATGAAACAATGTTAATATAAACAGTAATATGCATTCAAATACCCCTATAGTGGAACTGCACTTTTTTTTTTTAATCTGTCGCACCCTCCTAGTCAGCTAGGGGGAGCTAGACTCCAATTGTTAGCAAGAAGGGCTGAATAGCAGTCTGGGTGTGATAGCTCTCAGGGGTCAAATTGTGGTCAGAGCTGAGAGGCTCTGCAGACCAGCCCTCTGGAATTTCCCCCTGCTCTAGAACTTTAGAGAAAGGGAGCAGTGGGTAGATCTGAGGAGTGGCTGGTCTGTACTTTAGAGGATCCTGCCAATCCCCAACAGGAGGCTTGGCAAGGGACCAGAACAACCTTTAAGAGTAACTGAGCATGCTCAGCAGGAGAGGAGAGGAGTTTTGGCGGAAGTTGGAGATGGAGTGAGGCTGGAGAGAGGAGCCTGTATGGGGGCCCAGATGGAGAGGGGCTCACCAACAGGCAGTGGAGCATGGAAGGAGGAAAGCTCAGACCTTCACCGACCCCCAGAGAGAGGACCACCTTTTTAAAAAGGAAAGAATGGCTCAGTTAAAAGGCCTGGTACCAGCCACCAACCCACTAGCAGCACAGGAGAAGAACAGAGTGAGTAGACCTGCATTCCCTGGGCCAGAAAGGGGAAGGAGGCACTCTAGTGGGAAGCTGGATTAGCCTGCCACCCAGGACTGTTTCACTATTTATGAAGCAGACATGGGATTCCCTGCTCAGGGATTCACCCAGAACAGCTGGATAAGGAACACCTAGGGTCTGAGGTGGTACTACAGGAGATGCTGGCTAGCTCTCCTGAAGAGACTGTTTGACGTAACCTCTTGTACATAGTTCAAGAAGTTGTCCTCAGTTTCTCAGTTCCATTGGGCATCCCGTACACCCCTTATCCTACCCAAGTTGAAATCCCCCTAATAAAATCCCAAAAACAAGCTCAAGGACTGGTTACTGACTTTTGAATGCAGGTTGGTGTGGAAATACGTGTTGCCTGGCTGTGCAGGACTATAGGGGGGACACAAAATGTCAGCAAATCCTAATAGAGAGTAATACAAATCCTATTAATTATAATGAATATAACATTTTAAATTCCTACCTCCATGCACATTAGTTCATTAAGATATGTTTTTGTGCACCCATGCCGGAACTGCGGGTGCACATTCAAAATTACACATGCAACCTGAACTACAATTTCAAGTGACCTCAGTGTCTCTTTACTACTTTGCATGATTGAATTGTGGGATAGTTGTGGCTTTTACTATGCTCAGACATTAGCATGAGCATCCCCTGGAGACAATTGTGGTTCTGCAAAAGGGCTGTGTCACCCAAAGTAAAGGAACAGAAATAGGCTGTTCCATTCACCCTGGATATTACATAAGGAGTCAGCATCGGCAGCAGGAAGAAATGGAGAATATGAAGCACTTGACTTGAATCTTTTGCCCGTCAATCAGGATGCATTAGCTGGGCTCGATGGCTAAACCTCAGTAGCTCTACCACAACACCCCCCCCCCCCCTTCCAAAAAGGGGGAAAAGACTACAGTGAGAAGTCCATGTGAGAACAGGCAAAAAGAGTGCAAACCAGTAATATATTATGAATCCATAAACATTTATTGTGGATAGAATTGAAACAATTGGAAGATAGAAGCTGGCCAACACATTTCAGGGTCCAAACAATCCCCCTTCACAAGGGCTGAAACAAGACACATCAAAACTTTTGATGATCATAAACTTCATGATAAACATATATACAAGATAAAGTGTACATAAATCAATCATTGTTACAGAAAAACAGAAAATAGCTATATACACTAAAATTAATTTGAAAGAGTAATTGATGATATAAAAGTAAACATGAATAATATCAAACTTTTGTACCAATAAGGTACTCAAAAATAAGAGAACATTTAAAAACACATTCATTCAGGGGTGTATCTCACAGCACTAAGTCAATGTATCACCAGGGTAAGGCTATTATCATAGGACACAAGCATACATTCTACAACAGCCTTTTTAAACCAGGGTGCCTTGAGGTTTCTTCATGGGTGCCTTGGGAAAATGTCTAAAAATTGCCAAAAACTTGTATACAAACCAGTGGGTGGGAACAAGCCTGTACTGGACTACTACTCAGTACCGATGAGCAAAAGTGTATTTGCTTTGGAAGAATAAACCCCCTCTAATGTTGGGTGTCCTCCATGTGTGGATGTTGCTGCGTTATAAAAAACTAAAATAGTTTTTCACATTTTAGAATGGGGTGCCTCAAGACTGTCCATAATTTTAAAGGGTGCCTCGGGACTGTCCTTAATTTTAAAGGGTGTCTTGACTGAAAAAAGGTTGAGAAACATTGTTCTAGAAATCGCTTGGGAGGTTATATAAGTAGGGTTTCTTCCCGGATCGCTCAGTCGCCTCAGAAGACATGGGCTGTGGTGCTCAGAGAGTCTCTCCATAGAGCAAGAAACACTTTCTGAGGCAAAAGAAGGATGAAGACTCTTCTTAGGCGGCTCAACGTGCGGGCTGGCACAGGAGATGAGGATTGGCTCCGAAGATGCCTGAGTTTACCGCGGTTGGCGAGTCAATATGAAGTGGATGTCCCTGCATCTTCCTCGACCACTGCCTCCGCCATCACCGCCACAGCCTCCACCACCTCTGCTACAGCCTCATCCACCTCTGATTCTGCCGCTGTCCCCATCAATGCCGGAGATGCCACCGTGGATGCCGGTTCTCTGGTGGAAGATGACTGGAGCTTCGGGTCACGACAGGAAGAAGATAGGACAGCCGAAGATTGGATCCAGGCTAGCCTGGGTCACTTCCTGCCAGGAAGGAGGGCCGGCGAAGAGGCGGTATATCCGGAGGGCAAGATGCTCCCCTTCACCGCCCAGCACTGTCTCTGCCGACCACATTGGAAGATCTCTTCCATGCATGTGCAGTACGACTGGCAGTGGGGTGAGCTTCACGTCATGGCTTCCTAGAGCCAGGAGCATTGCCAAGGAGACCCCTGAATTGGAGGAGAGGGGACCGGCGCAAGTACAGATTCACTGCCAGACTGCCCAGCTGGAGGATGCCAGGAGACCCATACCCATCATCTGGTCTACAGCTGATCA